CTTGGTGCATAATACTATAGTTAGACAACACAGTGGTGAGGATGGTATAAATGGTAGATACACCTATACCCTGATATAACGCAACCCAATATAACAAGAATTCTGATATAACGCGGTAAAGCAGCGCTCCGGGGGGTGGGTGGGGCTGCGCACTCCGGCGGATCAAAGCAAGTTCGATATAACACGGTTTCACCTATAACGCAGTAAGATTTTTTGGCTCCTGAGGACAGCGTTATATCGGGGTAGAGGTGTAGATCAAAGATCTAATTGCACGCGCTCTCTCTCTCTCTCTCTCTATCTCTCTCTCCCAGAGGTTATGAATGCCTAATGTTGAAGGGAAAGCATGTTGGGGTTTTTTGCTTCTAATTGGCCATGAGTCTGTTTGCCAAGTGCTAAGCACCTTTATCTTCCACTGTCGTCAATAGCAGATGAGCGAGTTCATCATTTCCCAGGAGTTGCTCATCTCTGGGTTCAGCTCGTATTGGAGACATTACTCAAGAACTGTTTTTCCTTATGTAAAGATTACCTTGCAGTGCTGCCAATGTCGCTGGGAACCTGGGGGTGCACAAGCCGTGTCAGACCCAATCACACTTGTTAGCACTGCCCTGGGGCAGTCTGATGGATGCACCTGGGTTTGAGTGATCATTTTTAACTGTTCTTTGATTATTTTACAGAATTCAATACTCAATCTAAATATAAAAATAAAGCTCATGGTGCCATCAAAGGCAATGCCGGAAAGGCAGAATCATGTGCCATAGCCTCTGAAAAGTCCATCCAAGAATGCAGGTGATGTGACTTTACAATTATAGGAATGAAGGTGTCTTCCCTCACACAAACCCATGCATGTAATAGCATGTTGCTGGAGGCCAAACTCTGAGTTCTTATTCAACCCCAATCAAATCCATGTGGAGGTTTGCCTGAGTTAAGACTTCAAGTTTTGCCCCTGTATGTTTAAAGTGGGAACTCAGCGCTGTAAAACAATCCTTTCACATCTCTAGGAGCTTCTGCATGACATTTAGAAGCAGACTCCATATTGTGGTCCAGGTCTCCCCTCCCACAGACAAATGCATGGGCGGGCTGAGGGGGGAGGAGGAAGTTCTCTGGGGTTCTCCTCATGGAGTTTCCTCTGAGTTCTCCCTGTGAGAGGAGGAGAGGGTTTGCCCACCAGAACTGGTAGCTTCCCCACAAGATCTGCTAGAGGGAAAAAGGCCTCTGTGCACAGGCCTGGGGTGCTTCCTCCATAGTGTTGGGGCCCCCGAATCCCCCTCTAGCTCCCTAGCCAAGCTCTCCCCAACTGGTGATACCCACTCCTTCCCCAGGATGGGAAGTTCTGTAGATGAAGCAGTTCCCCTCATGTCTTTATCCTCGGGGAGGGAGAATTGTACTCAAGCCACTTTAAAATCATCCATTCTTTCTTCAGCCAAATGGTGCTTGCCTTACTCCCATAACAGGACCTAATGACTTCAGTGGGACTGAGATTGAATAGACTAAACTCGTAGGGTAGGTACTGTCTTTTTGTTATGGATTTGTACAAGGCTTCACACAATGGGGTCCTGAGCACCAATCAAGGCCCCTAAATGCAATTATAGCAAAGATCAATAATAGCAGCGCAATTTGGACCATTATCTTATCATACCAGGCTGTAGTTGCAAGGTCTGTCAAATATTCTTTTACATCCTGCCCTTCCAGCGTTACAGTATAATTACTGTTAGTGTGAGTGTATTCATTCAGCTTGCTCATTTTGATTTCCCACTCTCTTTTTCATGTTCCCTCTCCCTCTGCACACACCAGCCATGTAACCACATGAGCAAAAAACTCCAGACAGGAGACTATTAACTCTATCTCAGATACTTCAGAGATAGGCCTGGCATGAGAACCTAGATGCATAAAATGATTCTTCTAGGTGAAGACAAATCCTGCCTCAATTAAATTCCGATCATAATACTGCCATGAACCTGATGAAAAAGAGCCCTAAATATCTGCCCTAAATAGGAATTTACTGTAAATCCCACTTAGTATTCATTTCATTGATTATATAGAGGTAATCTGCATTATTTTGAAAACTAAGAAGTGTTAGGTAGCCAGTATTTCTTACTATTGTTAATAATAGTAAGTCATATATTAGTAAGTAAGTAAATAATAGTAAGTAACTATTACTATTGTTAATAATAATGATTATTATTTTAGTTTATTCAGTATGGTTACATTTTTAAAATATACATAAATGAACCCAGATTTTATTTGTGACATTAAAATATTAAGGAAATACATGTTTTATCTTATATTGTTGATTTGTGTTCTTGGCATTCCTATTTTAATAATGCTACCTACTCTATGGATTATGAAACCACTCATGTTATTAAAAATCATTATGCCTTTTGGAGTGATCTTTCTAGGATGAGTACCATCCAAATAGAATATCTAGGGAGGAAATTTGTTTATACCTTCCATTGTAGCAGTGCGGTGATATGAAGCAATATTTTGTAGGGGGGACACTGCAGTTATAGTATATCACATCCTCTCCCCCCTCCACCTCTCCAGGTTATAAGGTTGGAATACAAAGGAGCAGAATAAGCAAATGCAACACTAAATATTCTTCTAGTATTTCTCCATTACAATGCATGGCAGTCTGTCATTGTAGCCCATCAATATCATTCGCAGGTTCCCTTGCACTAAGGATGGCAGACTGCGGCATGTCAAATTTGACAGCATTCTTTCTTGTCCAAGCACAAAAATATTAGACTTTAAATACAGTCCATCTCAAAGGGGGTGAGGAGGGAATAGGCATATTTCTGAGCTCTAGACTGAAACTTTTATTATCTATGTAATAAAACAAATCTGCATCTGTATGTATACGCTTTTTGAGCAAATGTGTTGCACGTATAGATAATTGTGGCTGGTGTAGCACTGATTTTTTTGGGACTGGCTTATACAAGGCATAATAAACCCACCCACTCACACACACACACATATATATGCAAACGCACACACACACACATATAAACACATGCACAGGCACAGCGACATATGCTTTCAGGTTTAATATACACTGTATGTTCAGAAATCAATTTTTGTCAGCCAGATGACAATCCATAATAATTGCTTTCTTCAGCAATGTACAGAATACATTTTTGAATAGCTTCCTACTAAACTGTTTTGGGTTTGGGTTGGGTTTTTGAATTGCCTTTGAATTGCTTGCTGCGAAATATGGTCTGAAGGGCATTGCACTTGGTCAAATTACAGAACACATAGGTGCACAGTATAGTCACTGCCCATCAGCCAACACAAATATTTTCATCAGAATCAGCAGTAAAAATATATCTTCCCCCTTTGTTTTGTCTTTATCTTGCCCCGGATGCCTAGGCAGGCATAGCAAACTGTAACCCAATCTACATCCGCAAGATGCAGGTGTGAAAGATTTGACCTTGGGGGAGGTGTGTCCTAGTGTCTCTGAAATCTTATGAATGAAATTCCAGAGGATTGTATGTGTGTGTGTGCCTCTCTCGCTGTGTATGTGTATGTGTGTATCTCCTCGTGTATGCGTGTGTATATGGAACAAGGGAGGGAGACTAGTTGTTATTCTGATCACAGCTTCCCTGATTCACAGACTTGGAGCTGATCATGAATATAAGTGAAGACTTTGACGTCAGAGTTGAGATATATCAGCAGACCCAATGGGGCAAGAATATTAAGTGCAAGTCAATGCCAGCAATCTGCCAACGTTATTAGCAATGTTAACCAAGGAATGAAGCTTAATCCCAAGGACTGGAAGGACTAACACGAAAAAAAGGGGGAAAGCTCATCAGCAAGAATCAAACAAAGGTAAAACAACAGAAATCCATGTCTGCCTATGTTGTTGCATGTGTTTGACTTCTCTTCTGCGGGCTAAGGAAGGGGAAGGGTGTTTGCGTTGTATTGAGCTTGGAAAGCAAGCTGGTTAGAAGGTGGCCCTTTCCATATTTTAATCCTAGCGCTCTGGTAAATTGCATTATGAACAGCACTAGCGGCAGCAAAAACCTTGACGAAGAGATCCCGGACTAAACCATTTGTGACCTTTGCAACTTTTGTTTTCATCACAATGAAATGTGAGACGATATATACAAGGCGTTGGAGGGGATGTGATGGAGTGGGGGTTAAAGGGTTCCTACTTAGTGCAAGGGGCTTACTATGCAAGAAGACCATGTTTAATGCAGCTGATTCTGCAGTTGTTTGCAGCCAGCAGCCCCTGAGCGCACCAGTATTAAAAACAAGCAAAGTTCATGTAGAATATTTCTAGTCTGTAGCCTTCCCTGGGTTCTAATGTAACCAGAAGGGTGGCTTAAGTATCAGGCTTGCCTGGCCACAAATACTATATTTTTATTTATTACTAGCAAAATTATTTTGGTCAGAAAGATACATTTAAACCAAGGTACGAGCGGATATAACCATTACCCTGTTTAACCCACAAATTGCTTGTGCCCAGGCTGCAGCTCTATGCGTGTGCCTGATGTAACCGGCTCTGCCACCGTCTCCCTTTTCATGGGAGCCAATGCAAAGAGCATTGTGACGGGGGAATTATCCACACTCGGCTCTGCTCACCTTCCGCTTTTCAGAAGGAACCCGGGATCAGACGAATCTCCAGCTGTTCATTCAGGGGAAAGGAAGGGGGAATAGCCAGGATGGGGAGGAAAATCATTTTATTCAAAGATCGAGCCTGATTTTTAAAAAAAAGATCAAATGGACTGGGCTGGGGGTGTTTCCTGCGGCGGCGTTCGCGCTCAGCTGCCAGAGGCGGGTGGGGTGTGTGACCCCGGGGACTGGCCCAGGCAGGGTATTGGTGTTTTCATCCTGGCGGTGTCCGATCAGTCCCCAGTGCAACTGGCATTGGGGATACTGGGGCCTGGGGGCCAGGCTGGGACAGCGGGTCTTGTGTCGTTCGCGGCGGTGGATAGTCCAGGCTCTTTCGATGCTACTTTCACCCTTGTCTCCTGTTTTGTGTCCCTTGTGCCTCCTCTCCAGCGATGCTCCACAACCCCGCAGCAGCTGCGGCCGCCATGGAGGAGCAGCTGCGGCAGCAGCAGCTCCGGGTCCTGCTCAATGCCTCCTCCAGGCCCTTCCCCAGCAGCAGCAGCAGCATCTGGCCGTCCAACGCCTCTGCCTCGGAGCCGGTCACGGCGGCGGCGGCGGGAGGCGGCGGCGGAGCGGTCAGCCCCTGGGACATCGCCCTGTGCGCCACGGGCACGGCGGTGGCCTGCGAGAACGCGCTGGTGCTGGCCGTGCTCTTCTACACGCCCAGCCTGCGCGCCCCCATGTTCCTGCTCATCGGCAGCCTGGCGCTGGCCGACCTGCTGGCCGGCTTGGGGCTCGTGGTCAACTTCACCGTGCAGTACCTGCTGCAGCCGCCGCACGCGGCCGTGGCGCTCAGCGCGGCCGGGCTGCTGCTCACCGCCTTCTCCGCCTCGCTCTGCAGCCTGCTGGCCATCACCATCGACCGCTACCTGTCGCTGTACAACGCGCTGACCTACCACACGGAGCGCACGCGGACCGTCACCGGCGCCCTGCTGCTGCTCCTGTGGCTGCTGTGCCTGGGCGTGGGGCTGCTGCCCCTGCTGGGCTGGAACTGCCTGCGGGACCGGGCCACCTGCAGCGTGCTGCGCCCGCTGACCCAGGACAACGCGGCGGCGCTGGCGGTCACCTTCCTGCTGCTCTTCGCCCTCATGCTGCAGCTCTACCTGCAGATCTGCCGGGTCGCCTTCCGGCACGCCCAGCAGATCGCCGTGCAGCACCAGTTCATCGCCACGGCGCAAGCCACCTCCCCCCGCAAGGGGCTCGCCACCCTCTCCTTCATCCTGGGCACCTTCGCCCTCTGCTGGATCCCCTTCGCCATCTACTCGCTGGTGGCGGATTCCAGCTACCCCGCCGTCTACACCTACGCCCTGGCCCTGCCCGCCGCCTGTCACTCGCTCATCAACCCGGTCATTTACGCCTTCAGGAACCCGGACATCCAGAAGTCCCTGTGGCTGGCCTGCTGCGGGTGCGTCCCTTCCACCTTCTCCTCCAGACCCAGGACATCCAGCGATGTATAAGGGTGCTTGGCCGCCCGGATTGTCCAATGGTTTCATGCTCTCCCACTCCGCGTTGTTATGATGTATTACCACCAGCAGGAGGAGTCCCAGACCGACGCGTCTCCTTCCCTGGAAAAAGATGTCAACAAGAAAAACAAAAACACACGAGTGGTCTCCTTTAAAAAATGCTTATTTTCCTACACATGTTATTTATTTTTAATTTAAAAACAAAACAAAAAGACAAAAAAAAAAAGATCAGCTCCTGATGCTTTTTCTCATCTCGGTGTAATGGAAAGGGGGGAGCAGCACGTTTGCCAAACCTGTGGCCCGAAAATGTTCAAGGGCCCGGGCAACTCTTTACTTACTTCTGAAGCCTCCTAGCGAGGGGGCAGGCCGTTGGGGAGGTCCCGGTTAGGAACGGGGAAAGGCCTCGGGCCAGCTCTCCCTTCGCCCCACACCACTGAAGTCACTGGGGGTCGCCCCAAGTCAAACTCCTGTCAAGTGCGGGGGAAAGTCAGGCCTGGGACGTGTTTAGAGCCCAGCGCAGCTCTGATGCTGAGGGCTCGGGCAAGATCTAGAAAAACGTGTACGATATTTGCTTGCTGTTAGTTTGGGTTTGTTTGGAATGGTTAAAAAAATGACCATATCCAGGGGGCTTCGCTGCCTGAAAGGTGGGTTTGGGGTTTTTAGTGGTGGTGGTGGTGGTGATTTTTTTAAAACTATAATCAGGTTTTGCTCTGCTATGCAATAATACAAGGGACATTGTGAGATGCAGTAACCTGCCAATATTTTTCATGCCAGACCGGTTCAGCACCACGAGGTTTGGACAGCTCCGTGGGCAGTGGTAGGAGGACAAGTGGCCTGTCTTACGATTTTATGTTTATTTTTGTAAAAAAGCACATGGAAGTCAAAGATTTACATTGGCCCCTTTAAGCTGGGGAAAGGAAGTACGATCCTGAGTCAGGAACAAATGAGGGCCATTCCCCTTCCCTTGCTGTCCTAAACAATTGTATAGTGTCGCTATGTGCTGTTCAGCTGCTGCATTGCACCTCAGAGGAGGCTGCATTTCAGTGGTGGGTGAAGTGATGCCTGTATATTTATATCTCGTTTGTTTGTGAAGCACTTTGAGAACCTGCAGGATGAAAGGCACTTTAAGATATGATTATTGTTTATTATTATAATGTGAGAGTCAAGAGAACTCCTTGCTGAAAGATATGCTTACGGTGCATCATCAAATCTAAAGGTGGGAGGAAAGGACCTTTTAGGTTATGTAGTTAATCCCCCTGCCAGGGCGATGAAAGCAGTGGAAGAAAGTCAGAGATGAGGTTTTCTTGACATCGGAACCTAGGTTAATTTCACTTATTCCAGTGCAGGTATAACACATTGTCTTTAGCAGTATTGTTAATATAGTATGCTGATCTCTTATACCGGGTGTGGGGTGGGGGTATATGATCCAAAGACTGATATTCTGAACGTGGTTGGTTCTTCTAAAGGGAAGCCTACATCGTCACACGTCTTGTTCCCGAAACTACTAGATTAACTTGCTTCAATAGAGAAGCTACACTAGCCTCACGCTCCTCTACTCTATCATGTGCTTTGCGGTGTTAGTGAGAAAATGATGAAGTGGCCTTCATCTTGTGCTTTATTTTGGCCAAGAAGTGGACTAGTGCATTCCTTTAAAAACAAAATAACTTTCAGAGATAGACAGGGACTCTGTTCTATAGGTGAAATGTCCAGGGTTGCCTCTTGAGTGGGGGGTTTGTCTTACCACCTATTCTCTCAACGCACTGCGAGGAAATTGCTGTGCTGTGAGATCGATGCTCCAAATGCGTTGTCTCCCTTAGAAAGGAACCTGTGCTACAAACAGAAATATCCCTCTTTCAAACAATAGCCCATCCCTGCAGTATCAGTCGCAAACCTGGCCTAGGTTTATATTATATAAAAAACAACAACAAAAGAGAGAACATCGCATGTAAATATTATAGTTCCATGAAGGACAAAGTGTCCGCATTTATGTCTGAATACAGGTGAACCAATCGTTTATCTATGGAGCTGTGCAATGAAGGTCTCTTTCTAGCTCAGCAAAGCTCAGTGCACATGAAAAAACTGTGAATCTCAAATGTGTGCTTTGGGCCTGGACTTCTTTTCTAGCTCCTAAAGGTGTCCCAGCTTTTCAGTTTTTTTACGAGGAGCAATGTACAACATGCACAAATTCTAGTCAATATTTTTACAATTTGATTTAAGGTTTTTGCTGTTCATTTATTTATTATTCTGTTTCCATGGTTGCAGACAACCTCCTGCAGGTCCTAAATGTGAAGACTCAATGCAGAGTTAATTAAAAACATTTTGAAATAATGTTTTTATAGGACTTGATCTAGAGGGCAGGTATTTTTGTTTCTCTGGGCAGCTTATTTTGTATTTTTAAATCAAATGTAGCATTTAAACGTTCCCTCTAGGCACACAGCTAAAATGAACATCTTGCATTTTCTTGGATTTCCAGTTGATTCCCTTTTATCAAGGGTTTTGATTTCAGAATTTTCCTCATAAGGAGTTTAATGGTGTGAATGAAATTTACTCACTTTCCAGGGATCTGTAGATTAAATATGACATAGGTGCATAGCAATCAAAGCAAAATAATGTTCTTTTATGGCCCTCAATGTCAGACACTCAGAGGAGGAGTGTTACATTAGGATGTGATTAGCTAAAATGAGGAAGTTACTGATTATAAACTGCCATGTAAAAGTCAGAGATTATATGAGCATGTCCTGTAAAATACAGTTACCTGGCCAAATCTATTTCAGGTGTAACTCCATTGAAATCACTTGGCTAAAGTCAGACGCTCACATTAAATAGTATCTTACCGTGCTCCAGTGGTGCTAATTATGGAATAGGTGAATGGAATTCACTGTGCAATTCCTTGAAATAAGGGTATCGGGATCTGGCCCAATGAAACTACACCAGAGGTAAATTTGGACCCAGGTCTTTTGGAGAAACATTTTAGTCTAGTTCTTTCCTTGTGATTGTCTCAGAGAAGCAACAAGAGATGTTCAAAAAGTGCTAAGTATGTTTCATGAAGAATTTCTAAAACTCTTCATTTGAAAATTCACAGAAAAATTGAAGTTTTCAAATTGATAGTTTTCAATTTTTGAATTAAAAAAATCAGGTTTGGGTTTTGTTTTGTTTCTGCCTTTTCACTCCCTTTTTCCTTTCTCCCTCCCTGACCCCACCTTTATCAGAAAAACGAGGGAAGGACAGGAAAAAGGAGGATAGAAAAGGGAAAAAACCAGAAGTCCCCCCTCCAAGTTTGTTTTTCAGTGAGTTGTGGAAATATCAGAACATTTCTTCAAAAATTTGCAGTATGAAAATACTCCATTTTTGTTGGAAAAAGTTTTAAACTAAAAATTTTGACCTGCTCTACATTGCAGCACTCTCTCTTTGTCAATATTTATTAAGGAGAGCTAGGTTAATTATTGGAAATATTTACCAAGTTAGTAAAGCTGTATGCAAGATGATAACACACCGATGTTCTATTGTCTTTCAAAGCTGAGTCCATGGAATGCATTGCTACAAAACACTGGGCATGATTCTGTTCACTCTTACACCAATGTAAATCAGGAAGAAGTCCACTCAAGTCAGTAGAGTTACACCAGTGTAGAATATCTGGTGGAAGAGGAATATGAGATAGATAGGGCCGGATATATCAGTGGATGCTTTGCAGCACTCTAATGATGCCAAGCAGCTGTAAACACAGTTTAACTAGTCAGCTGAGCCAAATTTACAGCTGCTTTGCATTATGGGAGTTGCACAAAGCAATTGGAGTGCACTGGGGAATGTGGGCCATTGCTTATTGGCAAGAATCCTCCTGTTGGATTTGGTCCGATAAAGAAACCAAAACTGACACAAGCTGTTCGAAATGCTGAGGTATTGAAGTGAGTCTGCTTTAATTATTGTCATATTAATAAAAGATACAAGTAGGTAACAGTAGCTTTACAGAGCATAAAGGGCAGATCCTCAGTTGGTGGAAACTGGCATAAATCCTTTGACTTCAGCAGACCTAAACTGAGTCACACCATCTGAAGATCTGACGTACTTTGGAGGGACCGCTCAGTATGTAGTCAAGGTTATTTATCCACTAAACATATAGTAACAGTGATCTTCAGCATCTTTGCATATCAGCGAGAACATACTGCAGAGCTATACGTATTAAGGTCAAATGATTAATATCAGGAACGTTTGATTTCTCCATAGGACCAAATCCTTGCTTCCCCATTCCCACCTTATTGAGTAGCACATGAATTTTGTTTGACTGTTGTTTAGGTTGCCACCTTGTTCAGAGTGAACTAATTCAGCTTTAGACAGATGAACTGTGCCTCATTGAAACAATTGCTGAAAATGACCCCTCATCATTCCCTCCTGGGATGGGGGGACTGACTTACCTACCAAAGATCACTGATGAGCAGGAGCCCCCATGCCCATCTCTGTAGCAGAGCCGGCTGCCTTTTGGAATAGGGAAAAGAACAATGCCAGCAAACCCAAGTGCAGGTAGGAAATCATGGGCAACATACAGAATCAGGGACATGCCATAGCCAGGTTCTATGCCCTGGCCCTATTTCCTCCACCCCCCTGCTGCTGCATATTGCTGCTCTCTGCATGGATGAAATCTTTCAGTGTGGGGAGTCAACACTACTCAGATCAGCACTAACCTGTGTAGCATTTTACCATGGAGTTTTGCTCCATGTTTATGAGTAGCATGCCACACCCAGCAGCCACTTCCCCAGCACCAGCCTCTCCCAAGCTGTGAAGCCCCAAACCCATGGTTGCCTCATGTGGAGCTATTGCTCCTCCCTTCACTTATCATCATCACCATGGCAAATCCCAAAGGGACATAGTCTTCTTGCAGATCAAGTGCCATCTGTATTGATCTTCCCTTTGTCGCTCCAGCCCAGTTCCAGTAGCTTCCTCTCCTTTCACCACTGTAAGTGACAGAGTGGATCTGGCCCCAGTGTCTTTCGCTGAGACAC